AGATGGCTTCTGAGGGCAGTCGCTGCTCCCCCCACTGCTGTTGATACAGCTGCTGGTGACTGCAGGCAGTCCCTACTTGCCACTGCCAACAGTGTGGATGGCAGCTGTGGGTGGTCCCCGCTCACACCCTACCTCGCTGCCGACGCTGCCATGGCTGCCTGTGGGCAGTCCCCACTCGACCCACCCTCGCTGCTGATGTCACCGTGGCCACCTGCAGGCAGTCCCCGCTCACCACCGCCACGCACCCGCTGAGTTAGGTTGGAGTTGGCTGCCGTTGTGTCTGTATCTGGCACATGGGGCCCTCCTGTGGCCAGATCTGGTGTGCAGGGTTGGATGGGATAGGTTGAGCACCACTGATCTAGTCTATCCAATCTCCTTCATTTTGCTATATGAGCACTTCTAATAATTCATTATGCTAATTGAACTGAGTTTGGAACCCAACTTCATTTTAAGTGGGGGAAATGTCAATTGAAACTTTTTTAAGAAGTGCAGACTCTGCTACAGCAAAATGTTCAAAGAATTTGCATCTGTTTTGCCTAAATTTTTTTATTCCCCCTGAACAATTTCTGCCATAAGAAACATTCTATTTTAACATTTTCAAAATGAAACATTTTCATTTTCATTTGAAATTTTGTTTAAGTAAAAAATCATTTTATTTAAACAAAAAAATTTGACACCTGAAATCCAAACAAAATGTTTTATTAGAACTTTAACTATTGGGCTGAGTTTTCAGAACTGTCAGGCCAACAGGTATAGATGAAATAAGTTAGTGCTGTTTGAAATAACCTTGCACTTACTTTGTATCTCAGTCAGAAAAATAGGCAAAAGGGTCTCTAAAGGCACATACCTCTTGCTTTGGATTCCCATTCCAGAGCCTAAAAGAAATTTCCACCTCCCACTCTGCCAGAAAATCACAGAATCATAGAAAATTATGGTTGGAAGGGATCTCAGGAGGTCATCTAAGCCAGTGTTTCTCACCCCCTGGATTTCGATCCCAAAAGTGGGTCACAAGCGTATATGAAAGGGTTGCGAACAAACTTTAAAAATGGATTCTCCTTAAAAGGAGAAAACCATGGGTAGCTGTGGCTTTCCCCTTGCAGGCTGGCAGAGATCCAACCTGTGAGGGGCTATTTGGGGCCCCCTCATGTCCCACACACATCCACCTCCTGCCACACACCCTGGGGGGCTGAGGCCTGGGGGCAGAGGGGCACTGTGTCAGGACTGGCCAATGTTTACAAATGGGTCCCAGTACAAAAAAAGGTTGAGAACCACTGATCTAGTCCAACCTCCTGCCCAAAGCAGGACCGTCCCCAACTAGATCATCCCAGCCAGGGCTCTGTCAACCTGGTTCTTAAAAAGCTCCAAGGGTGGATATTCCACCACACCTCTAGCCCACCATGTCTTTTCTTCTGGCCACATCCAGATATTTCTGCATCTTTTTTTTTTTTTTTGCTACTGTAAAAGAGAAGCATTTTAGTGTTTGCCACTGCACAATTCTGAATGCTAAAGCGGTCTGCATCACGCACCGTCGTTCTGATGCCAGTACAACAAAAGGTTAAGCTGGAGCCTCTGTAGAGTGGCAGCTGTTGTATTTCCTGTGAAGTGGTTCATTTGAGGGGGATGGTGGGGGAGGTCCAGTGCAGCAAACCCAATTTACCCACTAGAATCCCTGTCAAAGCCCTGATTGGCTGTGACTCTCTACCATATTAGGAGTGTGTAAAGCAAAGATTAGGAGCGTGGTGCAAGCTGCAGGAACTCTGCTGTCAATCTGGAGAGCAGGATCTATATTTAGTAACAGGCACATGGGAATAGCAGTTTAAATGTAGGAGGGGGTTGGTAGAATGCAGACATTTATGTGAATCTCTTTGACTCTTGCTGAAAGCGGTAAGCATGCAGATTGAATCGTGCACTTTCTTCAGCAAAGGGTCTGGTGCAAAAATGAATGGCGATTCCCTGATTTTGCAATATAATAGGAAAGCAGTTCCGCCATGTTATACTGTTGATGCTTGCTAATTATTACACAGCAAAATAAAAGCCCTGGTAAGTGTTTATTTACTGCTCGCCTTGACAGACTGCAAACTAATCAGCAAATGTGCATTGCATTTAAACGCAATTATAGCAATAATTATATTGTGAACAACAATTTTGCTCCTAATAGACATTGGACTACTGTGATGCCAGTTTTGTTGCTTTAAAAAGGGTCTTGGTTTAAAATGAGAGACAAGCTGGTTGCCTATTAGAGTTTCTGGAGCCTGATTAAAATCTCCAGGTGTGAGATGATGGGCGTTTGTTGGTATATGTATCAATAGATTTGGGCCCCCAGATTGCTAATAGCCATAAAATATTGCCATGCTTAGACAAAAGAAAAATTTAAAATGAAGAACCAATAAAAGCCTAATATTTCAGGTCATAGGTTCATTTGAAATAAAAGTTGCTTCACAGAGATGCATATGGGTATTGTATATACATATTTATCCAGGGAAACTCGCAAGAAGAATCAGGTTTTCCAAAAGCTTCTGTTATTTTTCCTTGAGACGTCCAGATGGACTAACTGTAGCTCAAGGATGTCAAGTGACTGCTCTAAGGTCACACAAGGAGTCAGTGGCTCAGCTGAAATTAGACCTAGGATCCTCTTGGCTCCTACTCATTTGCAAGTCACTGAACCACATAACCTGCTCTGAAGAGCATGTGGGTCCAAAGCACTGCACTCATGGGGAAAATGTGCAAGCAGGGACTTTAAGGGAGGGACATTCTGCTAAATTCCCCTCATTGAATTTTTCTCAGCTTGTTCCATTTGTGAGAGGAGTCACAGGAGATGCAAAGAAGCGTCAGCATTTTCCTGAGACTTGTGGGTCCTGGAGGATCCACAGCCTATTCCCATATCAGCCTAGTTCTTCTGTTTTGGCTCTGGCTTTGGCTCTGGTCCTGGGCAACAGAACAATATCATTATTACTATGCTCTGTGCCAAGCCTCCATCCTTCACTCCCAACACCTCTTGTCTCCAAGCATGTTAAGGGGTTATAGGAAAGTGAATAACATTAAGGTAGCATTAACATTTTCCCTGACTTCCCCTAGCTGCATGGGTTCCCTCCACATACAAATCTAACCAATTGTTTTTCTAGGAAAAAATATGCTCTTGCTGTTGTTCTCCTATTTTCTAATGGTATTTAACAGAGACATCTCAGTTGCCATTGAGGGACAGAAAGGGGGCCCAGAAATGGTAATTTTTTCTCGTTGTCTGATGATTATTATCATTACCTCTGGTGAAGCGGAGCCCGATACAAAAAGTTCACCCAAGGCTGCCAGGAGTCTAGGTACAGTACTGCTAATTAATCATAAAATATTTTAATTTTATTTGCACATATGTATTGCTTTTATAAGCTGCCATGCACTGTCATGTGTGAAAGTCCTGTAATAAGGGTAGTGTGCATGCTTACATTTTGTTGTGAAGCCAGAGTTGAACAAAATCTCTGTTCTTTTCTGACTCAATTTCAGTTGTATTCATGGTTGATCATAAACCTGCGATTCATGTTCTGCTGCATGTTCCAATAGCAGGCCTTTCTTTCTCGAACCATTCCTGTTCACCCTCCTACAACACAAGCTGTATGTCTTAAACTAGGTCATGTGCTAAACTTGATGCTTTTCTGAGAGCCTAGGTAAGTAGCAGAGCCAAACAAAATCACAATGGTTTGGAAATCAGAGAATGATTCCCTTACACATTCAGCAACACAGTAAAGAACTACAAGGTGTGGTACACTAAAGGAAAAGTGTTCTGTTTCTGATTATGGAAAGATTCTCCATGGCTAAAGGTAAAGTTATCTTTCTATCATAAATACCTATTTTCAGCCTTCTACTTCCCTAGATATTCACCTGATATTTCTCAGGTAAGTTCTCTCACTGGTATAGATTTTTTTCTGAAAAGCTGGAGGCAAATCAAGTAAAGCATCTGAGTTTAAAAATAAGGTTATCTGATGCTGACCACTTTCCCTAATGTGTTCAAAAATCCCACGTTGTTATAACTGATTGACCTAGCAGAGGAACTGTTCTTCTAACTCATTTCAGAGAAGAGGGAAACAAGAAGAGTTGTTGAGCTTCAGCTTGCATGTTTACTAGCAACAGTGAACAGCAGTTACCTATTCTTCTACTTTTTCCTCTGTTGCTCAGGGAACATGATAGAGAAACTATGCTTTGATTCAAAATTTTTCTCTC